CCGCCAGCCCCAAGGAGTCCCTCCTCTCACCTGACTCGGCCAGCGGCTTGGCCAGCTGCACCAGCGTGCGGTCGGGCCGGGGGCTGGCCAGGGTCCAGCAGGGCTGCTCCGAGAGGCCTGCGGCGCGCAGCAGGGCCCGCAAGTGCTGCTGCAGGCGCTGCGCCTCCACGCCCGGGGGCAGCCCCGACAGCAGCAGGCGCGCGGGGGCGCGGGGCGGGGCGGGCCGCAGGTTCAGGCGGGCTTGGCACAGGACGTGCACCCCCTGCAGCAGGACCCTGGCAGCGTCTGCGGGAGGCGAGCACGCTCGTCAGAGCAGATCCGCTGGGGCTGCCAGCGTGCCCAGGTGCCCCAGCTGCCCCTGCCGCCAGAGCCTCACCTGCAGGCTCCTGAAAGGTGAGGATGCCCCCGTCGCCCAGCCGCTGCCAGCTTAGCACAGGGCCGCCGCCGGAGCGCCGCCGGTTCTCGAAGTACAGCGTGACTAGCTCGTCCGGCACTTCGGGGGACAGACCCCGGAGCTCCAGAGACGCGGTGGCCTCCGCCATTGCAACCTGGGACGGGGAGCGGAGGGTCTACCGACCCCGTGCCCCCATCCGGACGGCACCCACCCACACTTACGCGCACCCCAGCCCTGAGCCCCACAGGACCTTCCGCCGGGTTCTGCTGGGGCAGGGTTTTTCCGGAAACAAAAGTGAAACCGCCCGCGGGACTGGAATGGGCGGGGCGCCCCGCCGGCGCGGAGGGGGCTGGGCACTTTGGTATCCGCTCCATCCTTCCTGCTGCCCCAGTGCCTCGGAAAGTCTCACAGGGGAGGCTCTGGTCCTCAGTCACTCCGGTCCCCAGCCCCACCGGTTTCACCCCTGGGGTGGACGAAAGATGAGCTCTGGTCCAGCTGGCCCCACCTCCCCTCCTGGGTCTGCCCAACGCTGAACCACTGTAGTCACCACGCAGTACCCCCCAGAAGCACGGCACCGAGTGCCCACGCAGGGGCCAACCTGTACACCCAGGAAACAACCACTCCCTGACACCACCCTGTCCCCGCCATCCCCATGGAGGCTGACATGCACCCTGTGACAGCGTTCCAGCGCCTTGTAGAGCTCCCTGGACAGCTCTCGTCCCCGGGTGTCCACTGTCACCTCCCGGATGTAGGGCTCCAGGGCTTCCTCCAATGCCCGCTCTAGCTCCTCGGTGTCCTGCTCAAAGGCTGTGTGCACCACCAACTGGGCTGGCCCCACGCTTCCACCCGGCGGCTGTTCCTCCAGCAGCGGCTGCTCCAGCAGGGAAAGGGCCAGGGCTCGCTGCAGCACGGCGGCCTCCTCCTGCTCGGCCACCCCACCTTGAGGGTCCAGGGACCGGTGCAGGGCTAGCTGGATGGCAGCTGCCTCCTCCAACTGCCCCGCAGCCCACATGCTGGGAGTCACAGGATGGTCCTCGGCATAGTCCGCACTCACAGAGGCCTCCTCCTCCTCCTCCTTCTCTTCCTCCTCCTCAGGCTGCTCTGCATCGAGTCCCAAGGGCAGCTGCACCTCCATGTCCAGGCCCTCCAGGGTGGCCAGCAACTCCTCTAGGGGCAGGAGAGCCCCCTAGGTCAGGTTTGGGCCCAAGCAAGGCAGGGGATGATAGCTCAGGTGACAGGTAGGTCAGGGAGGAGGTCGGTAAGGCCAGGAAGGGCCCCAGGGTGCATGAAGGGTCCCCAGGGGGTCTCACCCAGGCTCACATTCTCCCGGTCACCGCTGCATCCATCTGGGAACATGGGGGAGGCTTGGAGGGCCTCGGTGGGATCCCCCTGCAGGGAGTAGTCAGGGCCCATCAGGCCAGCCTTCCCTAGGCCATGAGGGGCTGGGGAGGTTCAGACCAGACTCTCTGCCGTACCTCTTCAGAGTCTATGTCCATGGCAACCCTGGCCAGCCGCTCTGTCCCAAAGACACACTGGAACTGAGCCTCCAGCCCCCGAAGGAGCTGCTGCCCCTGGGGACTGAGCAGGAAGTGGGCACTGCCCCGGTGCCTCAGGCTCAGCAGGTGGCAGCTGAGGCTGCCCAGAAGGCTCTGCAGAAACTCTTCAGCTGCCTGGCATGGGGCGTGCTCACCAGAGAGCTGCAAGGAAAGGCAAGGGTCATTGGCAGGTCAGCGCCCAGGAAAGATGCCCCGTGGGAGAAGGGCTGATGACAGAGTCCCAAGGGTTACTTACCCGAAAGCCAGTCACATCCATCCCTTCAAGGGGGAAGAGCACGACATCTCCCAGGCTGGCAAGGAGGTCTTCATGATAGAGCTGCAGGTAGCGCAGTGCCCCAGGCTCCATGGGCAGCACCATTTCCACAGTCCCCGACTCCCCCTGCTCGACCTCCCCCTGCTCTTCCTCCACTGGCTCTGCCTGCACCTGCTCAATCTCCACCGGCCCCGCCTCCAGCAGCCACAGACATCCCAGGGGCCTGGGGCTCATAGGCTCCTCCAACCCCGGGTTCAAAGTCACCTTCTCCACCACACCCTCCGGCTCTGGCACCCCCTCAGGCCCATGCCTGAGAGCGGCCCCTGTTTGCCTGGGCGCCTCTTCAGGGCCCTTCTTGGTCACCGTCTGGCTGGCCTCTAGAGCCATGGCTGGTTCTCCGGCCCCTGGGAGTGAGTGCTCGGTTCCCTGCCAAGCCCCAGCAATGTGGTCTCCTCCATAGGTGTTCCCAGCAAGCCCCTGCGGCTCCAGGAAGTGGTAGTGGGGGAAGAGGCGCAGCTCAGAGCCCTGCAGCCAGTGGTCCTGCTGCAGCACCCGCTCCGCCACTGGAGGAAGGGAGACAGGTGACAGGTCAGGGGCACATAGCGCCGACCAGCCCAGCCCAGGCAGCCGGCTCACTCACCCTGCCACTGGTGGAAGGAGACCACGGTGCCCAAGATACCAGG